AAACTGACCCTCAGTTTTAGCAAGGACTGAATTTATGACTTGCCGTTAATAAATCTTGCATGAAGAGATCACCGTATCAATTTTTTGTCTCGTTTAAACTGAATTTGCTCACAGCTTTTCTAATGTTCTAATTATGATAGTACGTATTCATCACCACATTACATGCCTTGCTTTCATCAAATGAAGCACCTCTCTATGTGCATTTCAACATAGTATAAGACAGGGTACTTCGTAACTGCATCGTTATCCTACATTTTTGAGAAGACATAATCGTACGAGGAGCAGAGTCCATTGTCGTTATGTCGTTAAGTCGTTTAGCTGGAAGTACTAGCTTTTCGCATAAGTTTGTTGACCTTGATTTTCACATCCCAATTGCAACAATTCTGTCGTCAATTTATTTCTCATATAACTATTAGCTTCCGGAAAATAATGTCCGTTTTGAATTTCAACCGCAATAAGTCATAACTTCTCGATTCTGAATAGGTTGCAAGGTAGCATTCGATAGAGCAAAGCAAGCCCTACAAAATGACCATCTCGTTTTTGCAACAGCTCTCATTAACCTTGGGTTTTTTACGCCGTTCTGTCTTTTTTTACCTTTCAAAAATAAAAAACGGAAGTTTTCGTGCATTTGCTAAAGTATCGCTGTGCTGTCCACACATAAATAGTTGCAAACCTGTAGAAGTACAAACTTAAATTTTCAGCTCTCTACAAGCTTTGGTTTTCGAGAAATATCGAATATGGCTTTTCCTAGTCAGTCCAAGCCAAAATTCAAATTTCTCGAGAACTAGAGCTTGTAGAGCGCTGAAAATTTGAATTTGTACTTCTACAGTTTTGTAGTATACAACTACTCATGTGGGAACGGCACGGCATTTTGGCAATGGCACAAAAACTTTCGTTCTCTTGATTTTTGAAAGGTAAAAAAAGACAGCAGCGCATACGGGGTGCGCCAAAATCATTTGTGCCAAAATATTCAAAGTAATGCCACAACAATGGCAATGAGAAATTTGGTTTGGATTCAATGTCACAGAATGCCGTAAGCATACTCTACAAAAAGCACTATCAAGATCCCAAATCGGTCTTTATTTAGAGAAGTAAGAATTGCAAAAAGCAATGTTCACGACAGAAAAAACGCAAGCTGACGCAAATTATTAAAACAGTCAAAATTTTTGTTTTGAATGCCCCTAAAGATACCGAACCTCAGTATTTTATGGCGAAACCTTCACCTGAGAGAAGCGATCACTAAAAAGATACATAGTGGGCAGTTTGTGGGCCTCTACCCGCGTGCAGCACGCGACAAAGTCAGAGAAATATTATGAATTTTTACCGAAAAGCAAAACAGGCAATTTTACTTCTTTCAACTAAGATACAATGTTGTAGAACCAAGAAAACAATGTCAAGCTTGACCGCTGGCTGAGCTGGTCTTATGTTCGTATGGCGCTTAATGATACAAGCGCAAATATTTGTGGCGCACCCTGTATATATCAGGTCGGTGCAAAAGTTTTGTCAGTTTTTTAATCCATCGGCAAACACGCTAGAATCACGAAAAAAACGTTTCAAACTGTATCCGATGCAGAATTTCTTCCTCCTTCCAGCTGCGAAACTTTCATTGTGTTTCGTTGCAAGAATGACGAGATAATTGCTGGAATTTACAACCACTCATTACCATGTCCAAATTTCTAATTTTCAAAATCTTTGTATGAGACTTTCGGAGGAGCCCTAAAAACCACCAGATAGGGCAAGCCTTTTGTCAACTTATGCAATCTTTTTCTTTTTTTTCAGCTGCTTCAGATTTTTGCTAAATAATTTTCAAAAAGTCTTGCGTTTTGGAAAATCGCATAACCTGTTATTGCACCAAACACTGCAAAACCTACAGAATACCGAGGGTTTAGCACACGACTATTACTACCGCTACCATTACAAAGCAGATGAGCGATTTTCGCTTTAAATTATGAAGATTTTGTAGCATAGGTTACGTCAGTCGCATTCCTGAAATTGAGAAACACTGCAATTTTCCCCACAAAGTTCGCCTGTATCGGCGAAAAAAACAAGTATTAGAAGGAGGAGAAAGAGTTACATCGAATGGTGACTGAAGTGTTTAACATTTTATGTTTTACGAAAAATAGGCTGAATGTAAAATTTGGTCACTTAAACAATAAATCGCAGAAATTCTGAAAGACAAGCTGTAGGGCTACAAAAAATTGCTTCTGGTGGCAACAGATTTGCCCTATCTGCTGGTTATTAGTGCTCCTCCGAAAGTCTCATACAAAGATTTTGGAAATTAGCGAAAGTTGGACATGGTAAAAACGAGTGGTTGTAATTTCCAGCGATTACCTCGTCACTCTCGCAGCATACAACGGGAGTTTAGCAGCTGGAAAGAGGAAGAAATTTTGCGTCGGATACATTTTGAAATGTTTGTTTATTCTGATTCTAGCGTGTTTGCCGATGGATTGAAGAAACTGACAAAACTTTTGCACCAAACTAATAGATGTCTTATGTGGATAGTGTTTACGCGATCTAGTAAGAAGTTTTGCAGGATATTCATGAACCGAGTTACGACTTCCCTCGATTTTTCGTGCAGCTGAATCTTTTTAGTATTCGGCTCGACTCAAGGTTAATGAGAGCTGTTGCAAAAACAAGATGGTCATTTTGTAGAGCTTGCTTTGCTCTATCGAATGCCATCTTGCAACCTATTTAGAATTGAGAAGTGTATGACTTTGAAATTCAAAACGGACATCAATTTCCGGACAACCTAATATTAGGTTGTCCGGAAATGTTGTCCGTTTTGAATTTCAAAGTCATACACTTCTCAATTCTAAATAGGTTGCAAGATGGCATTCGATAGAGCAAAGCAAGCTCTACTAAATGACCATCTTGTTTTTGCAGCAGCTCTCATTAACCTTGAGTCGAGCCGAATACTAAAAAGATTCAGCTGCACAAAAAATCAAGAGAAGTCATAACTCGGTTCATGAATATCCTGCAAAACTTCTTACTAGATCGCGTAAACACTATCCACATAAGACATCTATTATTAGGTTGGCACATAAGTTTTGCAACTTTTCCCGTAACTTTTTCCTATTTTATGTAGCAATCTCATTTTGTGGCATCATGTAGATCGTGATGTAAGCTGCAAGTCTGCGCAAACCGTTTGATTTTTGACAACGTAGTACAAAAAATCTAAGCAATTTTTGAAAACTGCTGAAAATCGAGGTTTTACGATTTTTTGGCAAACATGAAGCCCTACGAAACCTGATTCAAACATATGAAAAAGCAATTGTAGGCAGCATGTAGCGGAAGTTGTCACATTGGAATCAGTGAAAAAGAAATGAAATCCAAACACAAATTAAGGTGGAGTGCCTTTGAGAAGTTGAACAAGTCAAATGCGTCAAGTTTTGAAGGCAATTTGTCAATAACTAAGCTGCGAAAAGTCAGAATTCGCTCTAACTTTGCACTATAGAGTAATCCTATGCGGTAAACACGAATATCATATTCATTTGTCGCTAAAATGAAATTTATCTTTTGATCTCACGAACGAGGCCTTTTCATGCGAAACGGATCTCATTTTTGTAATCAGCATGTCAAATAAGCCCTATAGGCCAAGTTTCAGCAAAATCTGATGCATTCTAAAAATTTTCCCATAGTACCGTAAACCTACCGTAATCCTCACATAAGATGGTAAAGTTCGGCAAAAATGTGTGCATTAGAAGCTTACATCGTATTCCTTATATTGCCAAAAAATGAATGCGCTACCTTCAAATAGACAAAAGTTATATAAAAAGTTGCATTACTTATGTGCCAACCTAATAGTTTATTGCAAAAGTTTTGTCAGTTTCTTCAATCCATCGGCAAACACGCTAGAATCAGAATAAAAAAACATTTCAAAATGTATCCGAGGCAAAATTTCTTCCTCTTAGGTTAATTTGGTCTTTTTAGGTTGATTCATAATTAATGCACATTTTCTATACTTCAACTTTCAACCAAGATAATTCTTTTTTGAAAAGACATTTTTGGGCGCAATGAAAACTACTGTAACCAACAAATCAGTGGCTATAAAACAGATAATTTTGAGAGACTGTACCTATCACAAAAAAGATTTTCTGGCCTGGAGATTGCCAACAATTTTTTTTCAGAAGCCTCTATTTTGAGAAAGCATAACTTATGCTTAATGAATTAGGTAAAGTAGATAAAGCAGACTTCGCTCATCGTGTAGCCAAGGGTCTCTTGTGCAGTACTGCCAAGCTTGGATTTTACGGAAAAAATTTGAAAGAAAATATCGCGAAAAGTCAAAGTACTCACTTTTTTCTGGCATCCCGGCGGGTTCAAAAATCGGTCATTCTTGGAATCATTTCATTTATATCCGCTGGAAATTGAGAAGACCCTAGCGCTTTTCTACGATCAAATGAACTAGGTCTACCCTTGCTGGATAGTGCAAAAGACCTGCAATCGCCTTTTACTTTGAAGTTTTATATAGCAGGAAGGGCCACGACGATCACTTCGCAATTAAATTTCTCGGCTGAGAATTCATGGAGAATTTTGTTCAAATAGCATTTTGTAGCACAGAGATTCCTAATCCTTATGCATATTTTTTATAATTAATCCGCCTATTCCTCATGGATCTAGAGCAAAAAGAGTGAAAAGCAAAAATTTTGGGATTTAGTCTCTTTTATTCAAAAGCTCAGAACTTTGGAATGAACGGAGATGTACGAAAGCCAACGGTCACATAAGAAACTAGAAGAAACGCTTTTTCAGATAGCGTAAGAAGTTTTTGAGGGAATTGATTACACATCAAATACCAGCTCTTGGAAGAAAAGTGAGAAAAACCTGCATTAATTATAAATCAACCTAATATATTCACTGCCTTAGCTCAAAGAAATCCTTTAGTTCATTTCGTCATTGAAAGCAATCGGTTTGCATGCATGACAAGTTCAAGCTAAAATCCATTTTATTGAAAAATTGCAAAAATGGTGGTTAACTCATATTTGGACATTACAAAGAATCTTTGAGCAAACGAGACTCCCGCGATTATCCGCAGAGTCCACCAGAACCGCATGATCCAGCTCCAAAAGTGTAACACTCGGAGCACACAAGGCCAACATTGTACATTGAATTGTTGACAATGTTCCCACTAAAATACAACAATTATGTGCTTGAAAAAAGAACTTTGTGGGTGCTTACTTTGGCCGGTAACGACACGATAGTACGTAGTCATCACCACACTTTGCAATAGAGCAACCAATCTCTCGAGTTTGAGCCCAACCCATCTTAACATTTAGCATTCATCAAAGCTTCCTGGATTTTAACGCTGAAATGGTTTTGATGTTTGGAGCTTACTCGAGTGTATGATTCTATGGGAGTGCCAACGAGTGATTCGGTAAAAACTGCACTTGAACCAGGGTTGGGATAGCTTTGGTATACATCCCACCACACCCTGATTGTCTGAAAGCATGAACAACATTCACGATAATCCAGCGTAAGCTTGCCTTTATGGTCATTTCTTTGAAAGATGACAAATCGCTGGTGATGGCGGCGCGATAAAAGTTATCGACTGGACTCAAACAACTTGGTTCTATATATCCTTCTGTAGGACATTTGGCTAGATGATCGTGAGCCTCCTTTTCCAAAGCACAAGACCACACCTGCAAATTATAGCTTGCAGCCACTCAATTGTCGTACTTGCTTGAGAATGCAAATGAACGGGATAGAAGCTTTAAAACTAACTAGACGATTCATGTTAGTAGCAGATGGCAACATATTTTCACTGTAGTTTAGCTGCCCTCTCGCAAGTTGAGCTCTAAACATGATCGAATTATTGATAAGTTAAGATGAGATCGTTGTATAAGATTTTCTTTATGCCGAAACCACTTTATTGACTCAACGTTTCGAACAATTCGTCTTCGTCGGGAGTCTGAAAAGGATCGTAGCATTCGCATTCGTATTTTACTACACCGCCAAACGTCTCGTCAACGCTGCACGTCTAGACCTCCCCTAGTGCAATGTACTGGAAAGCTAAACCAGAGTGTTCACCTTCAGTCCACCATAAGACCAATAGCCCGCACAACTGTGACGGACGCAACTGAGTTTATACTCAGTGTGTCAAACTATATATTGTGTGCGGATGTGAGCTTGCATAATGATAGCAGAGGCAAGAGATCATTCGTAATGGCAAGACATTATATTTTTATTATTCATAGCAGGACTCTTGAAAGATATCCATGCTGCTTCTAGTGTTTTTCGTGCGCAAATCTCATCCTCAATAGCCAATGTTATACATTTCACGTCGAATGAGGTGCCATCGTGCGCTTCAAATCTATGTTTGCCCAAAGGTGATGCTTGAGTTCCTCGTTTCATACTAGCCAAGTGTTCTTCAACTCTAATGCTCAAAGGTCTACCCGTTTCGCCTATGTACAATGCTCCGCAATTTAAACATTCTAATTGGTATACAACTCCCGATTTTGCACAATCTCCTGACTTGCCGTAGGGACAAACAATGCAGTCCTTTGATATACATTGTATACCGTAGCATCTGTTTCTGACTAGCCGCTTTTTGATGTTGTCGCTGGGTATATCAACCAGTCTAACATCGTTTTGCAGCTGGGCTCGAAGGAAGCACTGTTTAATCGCTCTGCTGACTTTATCGGAAATGAAAGGTATGCATAGCGGAAGTTTAGTATCATTGCGCTTTCCATTGCCACTTTGACCTTTATTAGATTTTCGTATTCGTAAGCGCGTGGCTGTGTTGTATCCGTTACTGAGCGCAATCTTCGTAGCCAATTCTCGAGATTCCAGTCGCTCGCTCTCGCCCGTGCATACTCCCACAGCAGTTTTGTACATGTTACGAATTAGGGCATGTTTAAGTGCTGTTGGATGAGCTGAGGAGGCATGTACTAATATTTTCTTGGAGCTTTCCTTTCGATACCATTTAACATGAATGGTATTGTCAGATAAGTGTATACATGTGCCTCCTCAGCTCATCCAACAGCACTTAAACATGCCATAATTAATTGCCATATTAACATGTACAAAACTGCTGTAGGAGTATGCACGGGCGAGAGCGAGCGACTGGAATCTCGAGAATTGGCTACGAAGATTGCGCTCAGTAACGGATACAACACAGCCACGCGCTTACGAATACGAAAATCTAATAAAGGTCAAAGTGGCAATGGACAGCGCAATGATACTAAACTTCCGCTATGCATACCTTTCATTTGCGATAAAGTCAGCAGAGCGATTAAACAGTGCATCCTTCGAGCCCAGCTGCAAAACGATGTTAGACTGGTTGATATACCCAGCGACAACATCAAAAAGCGGCTAGTCAGAAACAGATGCTACGATATACAATGTATATCAAAGGACTGCATTGTTTGTCCCTACGGCAAGTCAGGAGATTGTGCAAAATCGGGAGTTGTATACCAATTAGAATGTCTAAATTGCGGAGCATTGTACATAGGCGAAACGGGTAGACCTTTGAACATTAGAGTTGAAGAACACTTGGCTAGTATGAAACGAGGAACTCAAGCATCACCTTTGGGCAAACATAGATTTGAAGCGCACGATGGCACCTCATTCGACGTGAAATGTATAACATTGGCTATTGAGAATGAGATTTGCGCACGAAAAACACTAGAAGCAGCATGGATATCTTTCAAGAGTCCTGCTATGAATAATAAAAATGAATGTCTTGCCATTACGAATGATCTCTTGCCTCTGCTATCATTATGCAAGCTCACATCCGCACACAATATATAGTTTGACACACTGAGTATAAACTCAGTTGCGTCCGTCACAGTTGTGCGGGCTACTGGTCTTATGGTGGACTGAAGGTGAACACTCTGGTTTAGCTTTCCAGTACATTGCACTAGGGGAGGTCTAGACGTGCAGCGTTGACGAGACGTTTGGCGGTGTAGTAAAATACGAATGCGAATGCTACGATCCTTTTCAGACTCCCGACGAAGACGAATTGTTCGAAACGTTGAGTCAATAAAGTTCCACCAAACATCCTGGTTTCGGCATAAAGAAAATCTTATACAACGATTGAAAAGAACATGCCCAGGTTTAAAGAAGAGAACACGTGGAAATTAAGATGAGATCAACAACACCCGACTAGTTCGAACGTAACATCATATTGGCTAGAAAATACTTAGAAGGATAAGAATCTTTATTTCCACTATTTCCGGTAATCGAGAATGCTGTATGATGTCTCTCGCCTTTGTTTCGTACTATATATTCTCATAAACAAATCTTATATATTAGGTTGGTCCGAAAGTTCTGTCCCACCTTTTTCAAAAAACCGTAACTTCTTCCTAACTCAATGTTTTTGAAGAGTTAAACCACATTGAAAACAGCAACTCATGTACTTTCTAAAACTACCTTGTCTGCTTTCTACTAAGCTCTGAAAGCAGAGATAAAATTGGGAAAACGAAATCACTTCGAGTTCGGAATTTTTAAGCAAGCCCGTTAAAAAATCTAGAACTTGCCCTAAAATCCAAAACAGCCAGTAACATAGACTATTTTATTCCCTCTTTCTGGCTGAGCAAAGTTCGCGCTGATGTAGCGTTTTCCGAAAAGTTATGATTTTTTGAAAAAAATGTCAAAAAATGAATTTTCTTAAGAAACTGATTTTTTGGCATTTTTTCTCGAAAATCATAACTTTTTTCAAAAGGGCTCGATCAGCGCGAATCTTGCTCAGCTGGAAAGAAGGGATCAAAAAACCTAGGATACTGCCTGTTTTGGATTTTATGGCACACTTTTGGATTTTTCAACGGGCTTGCTTAAAAATTCCGAAATTGAAGTAATTTCCTTTTTCCAATTTTTTCTTTGCATTCAGAGCTTAGTAGAGAGCAGCCAAGGTAGCTCTAGAAAGTGCAGGAATTGCTGTTTTCAATGCGGCTTTAATCTTGCAAAAACATTGTGTTTGGAAGAAGTTACGATTTTTTAAAAAAGGTGGGACAGAACTTTCGGACCAACCTAGTATAAAGCTGAATGTCTGTTTGTCTGTCTGTCTGTCTGTCTGTACGTATGTTCCGAATAGAAAATTTCATTTCTGAACCGATCCGGACCAAACTTGGCACACATACACTACGGGCCCCGGCGGGTGTCATAGGTTTCTTTTCGTCATCGATCGATATCGATTTTATCGATTTTTTGCAAAATTTGAGCTACGGGGCTGGGAGTTGGCACATGGGGGTAATCGAGCATGCTGATTACGAATACAACATTAGTTTTTAAAATCGTGCATTACTTTTATCGATATAAATATCTTTTATCGAAAACTAATATTGTATTCGTAATCAGCATGCTCGATTACACCCCTCTGCCAACTCCCAGCCCCGTAGCTCAAGATCACCCCCGTGGGGGTGATCAGCATGCTCGATTACCCCCCTGTGCCAAATCCCAGCCCCGTAGCTCAAACTTTGCAAAAAATCGACAAAATCGATAAAAGTAATGCACGATTTCAAAAACTAATGTTGTATTCGTAATCAGCATGCTCGATTACCCCTATGTGCCAACTCCCAGCCCCGTAGCTCAAATTTTGCAAAAAATCGATAAAATCGATATCGATCGATAACGAAAAGTGGACTGTGACACTCGCCGGGGCCCGAAGTGTATGTGTGCCAAGTTTGGTCCGGATTGGTCAAGAAATGGAATTTTCTATTCGGAACATACGGCGGAGCCGGGTAAGCCAGCTAGTATGTACATAAGCCTTTCTGGTAAATGTCAAAATCCATTTAACTGTGTCTTAAAATGGAAAGTTACAAGTTCCACGGGCAAATTGCAAAGAAATGCATATCCCTTTTGGAAAACACACAATCTTTCAAGCATGCCAAAACTTTGGTTTGATATCGAGCTAGCAGAGTCTGAAAAGCCTCAGAGGAAACCGAGAAGCCCAACATTTTATTTTATTTTGTAACTTTTTCTCTTTAAATTCTCAACGATAATAAACACCCACACATTGAGCATCTACGCTTTGTGTAGTAGTTAAACATTTTTAGCATGTAAAAGCTTGAGATACCTTCGTATATTGTGCATATCCATCATAAGTATTCTGAGTGCATCGGTCATATCGCCATGAGCGCATATGGTGTCCGGATCTAAACTTGGAAAAATTTTTGGATTGATAGCATTTGAACAACAATTCTACAGTAATATCAATATCTTAATCACTAGAGTAATCAATTGATGATAAGTAAGATATAGATTCAAATATTCCGAGATGAACCGCTGAGGAATGATTGTGCTGATGTTCCATTCATCAGAAAGTGACTTCAAGATATAATACTTTCACATAACTAATGCACGTACCTTCAATAGTTGGCTTGGGGAATATTGCCTCAATGCAAGTTGGAGCAGGTCTTGAAACTGTGCATAAACCGGTTGGATCACAGAAATTAGTACAATCACAGCTACCGCTACCAGTCTCGTATATTTTTTCTCCTTCCTTCAAATCACTGCAACAACGTTAGTGTAGTATTTCTGCAAACTGCGTTTTTTGCAGCACTCTTCCAGGATTTTTTTATGCAAATGCAAATAAGCTATAGATTTTGTACACCAACGAATTACCACTACTGTTGTTACAACTGTGATGGCCATCGTGATGCCTCTGATGGTTTGCATTTTGTGCGCTAGCCGGTGTTACTTACGCTGCAGTATAATCTCTTCCAAGACGAGCGGTCGGTTCAATGTGCAACGCGGCTGTGACACGGCTGCGTCACAGCCGCTTTAATAATGTTAGTAGCGGCTCCAACTGAGATTCACAATATGGAACAAATCATTGAGCTTTTCAGTATTGTGAAATAAGATAGAAAATTTAAGCGCACAGGGTCACTGTAAAATAGGCCTTCAGAAAATTCTTGAAAATGATCGGAAGTGTAGCAGAGTTTTCACGCATGCTGTTTCACCGCACAATAATCTCTGTTTGTTTGAAACTTTCTAATGAGTCAGATTTTTGGTGAAATATTGGGAGAAGTGATTGTTATTGTTTATTTTTGATAACTTTCAGACGAAGTGTTCTGGTAAAACGCAGATACCATAATCAGAGCCCAAGACCTTATTGGCCTAGCGTGAAAGTTTTTTTTTATTTTCGCTTCGTGGGGACAATTGTGGCATTTAATAACTCAGAACTATCTGAAGATTGTAACCACACAGAAAACAGGGAAATGGTAATTCGCTTCATGCTGTGCTAAAGCCAGCTCTACAAATCGTTACTCGAAGATTGGCGAAAGGCACTGTAGAAGAAAGTTATTAACGTACAAACAGTGTGCACATATTTTTCGACACTGTCTTCCACTTTCTCAAGCTTGCGTCAGCTTTTTGCAAGGTTACGAAATGTGATCTAATTAACTAAAAACGGTCTAAGTTGTGAGCTATGATGCATGCACATAGAAGCTAGCGTCATATGTAAGGCTTCGGCTCGGGGGTGGGGCGCGACAAGAAAAATTTTTCAATGAAGGTGCGTGGCGTTAGCCAGCACTCCGAAAAAATTTTTGGGATATTTCCCAAAATTTTTCCGGGCCCATGACCCCAAAATTGCAAAAGGCGGCAGCCACGCCCCCTACTACCATCAAATAACAATACAGGAGATGCAGGTGCTGAGCATAGAAAGTAATAAATTGATGAATTTCTCAAGCTTTGCTCAATCAAAAAAACACGCTGATTTTGTAAATCTGACACATCAATCACAGCAGAAGCGATATGACCTGCAACTTGTTCAAAGATTTCGGTATTCTCGAAGACTCACGGTTGGTCGGTGATACAATAAAAAACAGTGATCGAATCATCGGAGCCGTTGCAGCTTCTGTGAGCGCAACCAATTTTCGTAGCCGTGGAGCGCATTAGCTATAAATGCGTGATTGAGAAAGACGTGTCATGTCGGTTTTTTCGATACGTTAGCATAGTCCAACAGGTATCTCCCATTCTTCGAAAGCAAGTATGTTACTCCTTCGGGACTGACTGGTGTAAGAGTTTTAACATCAATTCCGGAGACCCATGCACGAATTACGTCCGACGTGTTGAATTCTCCTTTCTCGCTGAATGAACGAGATTTTTATAGTAAAAGTAATTAATGCGTAAGGTTGCGCGACCAATTCTTGTAATAGCCAGTCGAAGTCTATTTCGCGTTCAGTAAAAATATGTTAGTTATTAGGTTGTTCGGAAATTAATGTCCGTTTTGAATTTCAACCACAATAAGTTATACACTTTTCATTCCTGAATAGCTTTCAAAGTTCCATTCGAAAAAGCAAAGCAACCTCTAGAAGATGACGATCTTGCTTTAGCAACATCTCTGATCCTTTTCGAGTTTCGAGCCAAAAACTAAAAAGGTGTAACTGCCCGAAAAATCGAGAAAAATCGTAACTCATTTCATAGCAATCCTATAAAAATTCTAACTTGCTCACGTAAATACTATCCATATAAGACATCTATGTACGCCGTTGCCGTAATTTTTCCTTTGTTAGAAATCAAGAAAATCGAAATTTTCATGCTTTTGCCGAAGTGATGCTGTGTGTCCACATAAGTAGATGCATACTACAAATTTGTAGAAGTACAAACGTGGGCTTTCAGCTCTTTTCAAGCTTTAGTTCTCGGGAAATTTGAATTTTAGCTTGGACCACCTGACTAAGGAAAGCTATATTCGATATTTCTCGAAAACTAAAGCTTGTAGAGAGCTGAAAATTTAAGTTTGTACTTTTACAAGTTTGTAATACACATCTACTTATCTTGGGACAACAAAGCATCACTTTGGCATAAGCATGAAAATTTCCGTTTATTTAATTTCTAACAAAAGAAAAAATACGGCAACGGCGTACATAGATGTCTTATATGGATAGTGTTTACGTAAGCAAATTAAAATTTTTGTAGGATTTTTACGAGCAGAGTTAGAGATTTTTCTCAATTTTTCGGGCAGTTAATCTTTTTAGTTTTTGGCTCGAAACTCGAGGTGGATCAGAGCCGTTGCTAAAACAAGACTGCCATCTTATAGAGATTGCTTTGCTTTATCGAATGGTACTTTGAAAGCTATTCAGGAATGAAAAGTGTATGACTTATCGCGGTTTAAAACCAAAACGGACATAAATTTCCGGACAACCTAATACAAACTAGAAGTGCACATTTACGATTTAAGATTTTTTCCAGAACATACCTAAAATAAGCGAAACCATGACCAGTATCTACGCGAGCATCCCATTCAGTACAGTTCATATTATCCAAAGCATCTGAGGCTTTTCTTTCCAGATCGCAGCTCCAGGTCTGTAAATTTCAAGATATGGAAATTCTGCATTAGTTACGTCTACTGGAAGGTTGATTTGCAAAAAAGACTAGTTGTACTTTGCTGAGGCATGCTCCTCTTTATCGTAAAAGACAAAACATTCCGGAAATTTTCGCGATTACAACAAAATCATTTTGAATAGATTGAGTCAAATTACTTCCATTTTTTACGTCATCATTCCGAAAGGGATAATCAGCACGTTATTAGTATTACTTACGAACCTTTTTTCCTCAATTTATTATTGACTTTTTGAGACTCCGTTCATTTTTATTTAGAGATACGAATTGGTGAAAAAATATGCATGGGAAGATTATCAAATAAAGCAAGATAGAGCTCATTCATGCTTTGCAATCTAGACTGCACTCTCACTCTACTTTTATAATTCTTCATCGACGATAAATATGTGACAATGCACATGCCCACGTACAAGGCTTTTACTTATCAACGTGGCAGCACCTTGCCTACGCTTCTCAATAATTATAAAAGGCGTTTCGGAAAAATTCTGACTTTTTAGACTAGTACAGAATCAAAGCCCAGTATCTTAAAATGCACATATGATTAGCAGAGCTAGCAGGTTTTGAATGTGCACATTAATGACCGGAAACAAGTTTCTTTTCAAAGTCTTTGCAGAAACACTAAGTGCTGTTTTAGAAAGTCGGCCTTAACTCAAACTTATATTGAGGTTGAAACTGAGCCTCTTCTGTACAACTATGATGGAAATCTTTAGCGCACTCTGTTGCAAATTAACTGCAATCCAGAAATTTTCCGAAAAACCTGAAATCTTCAAAGAAGAATTGATAAATTAAATACATTTGTGCCAACAAAAAATTTGTGCGGTTATTTTGCAGCGGTACAGTGGTGTGACTAAATCTTTGATGATCACTGGGAGGAAGACACTATGGTAGCGTAACGCATAAGTGCCAAACTTATTGCTTTGACAGAGATGCCCGTACTCAAAGTGAGCGTTTTTTGGTAATTGATTTTCAGCACTTTTCTGGAGGTGATATTTCACCGCCCTCAACAGTATTTCTCGAGTTATTAGAAGGACAATCGATTCAAGGTGTCAAAGCGGTATGGAAACAGTGCAAGAACAATTTTAGATGAAAGTTTTTTTTCAGGCCTACTTCAAAACCGCTTAGAATAATGATATGAAAACATTCCAGAAAGTATTCGATACAAAAAGCTTCCTCTTTCTATTAGTTATGCCTTTGTTCGATTGGTTTGATGAGCGCTGAGATAGTTGCCGAAAACTATTAGGTTGGCTCGAAAGTTCTGGGACATTTTCGAACTAGATTTGCTATTTCTCGAAACTTAACGCATATGCATCAGGTAGAGGCACTATTCGATAGAGCAAAGCAAGCTCTACAAGATGGTATGCAAAATTTCGCACCAGCTTCGACCCACCGTAAGTTTGCACCCAAAATCTGAGTCGTACTAAAATTCAAAAAATCGCGAAAAATTCATATCTTTGTTCAAACAAATCCTACGGATCTCCAACTTACTCACAAAAGTTGCACACTACATCAAACACTCATATGCACCGTTGCTGTGTTTTTTCCTAATCTAGAAATCGAGAAAATGTAAATTTTCTTGTTTTCACAAAAACGAAGCTATGCTGTTCCCACTCATGTAATTATATAGTGCAAGCCCTTAGAAGTATAACCGTAATTTTTCAGCCTTCCGTAAGCCCTAGTTGTCGAAAAATATTGATTTTAGCATGAAACGCCCGAGTGAGGAGAGCTCAATTCGGTAATTTTCGGGAACTAGAGCCTGTAGAAAGCTGAAAAATTAGATTATTACTTCTAGGGGCTTGTACTATATAATTACATGAGTGGGAACAGCATAGCTTTGTTTTTGTGAAAACAAGAAAATTTTCATTTTCTCGATTTCTAGATGAGGGAAAAACACAGCAACGGTGCTATGAGTGTTTGATGTAGTGTGCAATTTTTGTGAGCAAGTTGGAGATCCGTAGGATTTGTTTGAACAAAGATATGAATTTTTCGCGATTTTTTGAATTTTGGTACGACTCAGATTTTGGGTGCAAACTTACGGTGGGTCGAAGCTGGTGCGAACTTTTGCATACCATCTTGTAGAGCTTGCTTTGCTCTATCGAATGGTGCCTCTATCTGATGCATATGCGTTAAGTTTCGAGAAATAGCAGATCTAGTTCGAAAATGTCCCAGAACTTTTGAGCCAACCTAATATAACCCTCATTTTTACCATTCTAACTTTCGCTAATTTTCAGAATTTTCATACTAGAGTTTTAAAAGAGCTCTACCAACCACCTGATAGGGCAAACCTTTTGCATTAATAGATTTTTTGCATTTCTCTGGCATGCTTTCTAGAATTGCTAAAATATTTATATTTCTTGAAGCAACCATATTTTATATTCGGCTGATTCTACCTCGCAAAACATCAGACGTAACAGTTTAGGTACCATTCGATGCACCTTTTTCTCCTCTTTCTGACATCTATCTTTTCCTCGCAATACCTGCGACTTTTGCAGACAAAAACGCTGTACTTTTCAATTTGAGGGGTGCGCAAGGTTGTAGTCAAATTCCGAAATCTATTCATTTTCACGCCGTAATCGCTCATTTGCTTTGAAACTAGCGATGATAATGAACGAGCTTTAGAATTTCAATAATTTGAGGATTTCGCAGTGTTTGGTGCAATTATGTGCATTGCGATTTTTTCCAAATTCAATGCTTTGGTAGAATAATTCAGCAAAATTCTAAAGACGAAGCCTAAAAATGCAAAAAAATTGCTATTTATTATTTATTTTGGTTATTTTGCAGTGGTACAGATGGTGTGACTAAACTTTGATGATCAATGATGATGATGGGAGGAAGACATTATGGTAGCGTAACCGGCATAAATGCCAAACTTATTATTAGCTCATTATGCTTATATTGCTCTGACGTGAGATGTCCGTACTCAAAGTGAGCGTCTTTTTGGTAATTGATTTTCGGCAGTTTTCTGGAGGTGATATTTAAAAGGCACCGTCCATCCAGATTTTCGACGCTATTCCGAAGCAATTTTCTCGCGTTCGAAGCGGCATTTCGCGCATCGACTTGGGCATGGGATTGATAAGGGGCCCTACTACTATATGCTGCTAAAAGCTCATCACCTTTAACGTAGGGTAGGCGATGTTTTGACCGCCCTCACCAGTATTTCTCGAGCTATAAAAGGGACAACCGATTCAAGGTCAAAGCGGTATACAAGGAGAAAGCGTGCAAGAAGAATTTTTCAGATGTGTCACGTTTCATAAATATCGTCTTACTTATAAAGTCTCATATATAACTGAATGTATGTTTCCTGTATGTATAGGCTGCTGCATGACGAAGGCGCAATATCTTCTGGCGCAAACGCGGCTTCATTAGCCGCAGAGCGCATAAGGAGCGGAATTTGCAGTGGTGAGGATACGCGCGCGTCGCGTTCGCGCTCGCTCAACTGATACCGCTTCTGCGCCTTCGTCATGCAGCCTTTATGTCTGTCTGTGTGTATGTATGTTCCAGATAAAAAATTTTATTTTTGATTCACTCCGGATCAAACTTTGCACACATACACTTCGGGGCCGGACGGGTGTCGTAGGCTACTTTTTGTCAACGCTCAATACCGATTTTATCGATTTTCTGCAAAGTTTGAGGGGGCTGGGGGTTGGCAGAAGGGGGGGGGGGTAGGTGAGCATGCTGAGTACAAATAGATTCTTGACAGGGCCGGCCTGAGCCGGGTTTGCCAGCTAGTATCTCATAAAATTCCAGCTATCTCTGAAAACTCAACACAAAGCACTACTCCAAAAAACTGCCTAAACAGCGTCAAATTTTGGATCGGAGTTTTGCTGCTCAATAAGCTAGACATTAACAATTTGTCACTTCGATTTCATGTTCCAGCTCTAGAAACCCCACAAGATCTTGAGAATTACTTGATTATCCTGCCGCTATAAATGATGAAGTAATGATAAAGTTTGATTTCCTAATGGCGGACGAAATTAAATCCGCAAATGGGTGCTCATTTTTGTGCTTTGATGTTGTGAGTCAAATTTATAATTTTTGGAGCGAAAATGGTGCTAATTACGTCTATAAAGTTGGGTTGTTTCAATGAAATGTTGTTGATAACTGCGACATAATCAGGTGAGCAAAATTGGAAAATAGCAGTTTCATGTTTTTTCCGACCAAATAAATTGAAAAGAAGGCAGATAAAACAAAGGCACATTTGCGCAGTGTTAGAGACCATTTTACGTTATTAATTGTTTAAAAACGCATTTAAACAAAGTATGCTCTTTTGTTTGCTAAATCATATGGAGTTGTGTTTGATATTTGTTCACTCAAAGATTGGCATCTAACTGCATCGAATTCAAGATACTAGCATTTAATAAATTTTCAGATAAAGAATGTGTGCAGCGATGCTGCGACAATTTTATCAATTATTGTGCTCTCAAACTGCGGATAAAGTGAGGACTCAACTAGACAAGATTATTGGCAAGGTGATAAAATGCAGTTTGCAAATGGTAGGGCTTGGGGTAGGTATAATATGCGGAAAAGGTTGTGCTGGGGACCGACCTAGAGGGAAGGGGATCATATTCAGCTGTTGTGTGCCACACCCTCAGATGGCCCTAAAAAGTGACAGTGTGTAAGTTTTGGGACACTGTATATTTTTGAATCGTTTCTTCATTTTCTCAAGATTAGAATTATGAGACCAATGCATTACTTAACCAGGGTAGGGGGGGGGGAGGGGATTTGGTTAAAAGGGAAAAAATACAAAATGTAACAAATTTTGGTAGATTCCGCTTTGAAGGTTTTTCTGTACTCTACTACCCTAAGGGCCACTATAAATGGATTGGGTCAGACACAGTTGCAGTTGAGAGTGCAACGTGCAGTCTTAACTAAGCAATGCGATCTCAAGTAACTCATAATGGCTTATTATATCCTTTCGGAAAAGCTCGGTAAGTGAAGTATCGAAGAAAGAAAAGAAATCACACAATTACATGTGATTTTTCTTTCGAGATATTACAACTGAAATATTAGGTCGGTGGAAAAGTTTTTACGTTTTTGAAACCTACCCCTAATCCCATAGTGTAAAGACGAATAAATAACTCAAATACTATCCAACACAAAATTTCTCCCTCTTTTCAACTCTATCTTCGCGATGCGATACTTCCGACGAGCGCTGAGAAAGCCAAAAGCTTACAATTTTTCATTTTAATATGACGTATTTCCGCTAATTTTCAAAGTTTCAACTGAAGCCTTTTGAAAATGCTTCGAACTATCTGTTATGCCAAAGCTTTTGCAAACTGATGTAATTTTTCATGTCTGATAGCTTCCTTCTTGGAATTGTGCTGAATTATTGTGTAAAAGTCTGTTTCGGAAACTGCATAACACAAAGGCATCTAACAATACAAAATCTTCAGAATGTTGAAGTTTCAGAACTCCGTTGGTGCTTCCACGTGGTAAACGTAATCAGGCACCGGTTTTTACCCAGTAAATAATTATAACGGACTTGGTAAACGTGGTCCATGTAATCTAAAATGAATATAATGTGGCCAAAGGTTTGCTCTATATAACAGCTATCAGCGCTCTTTGAAAACATCAGGACGAAAACTTTTAAGATTCACAAGAGATTTGGCGTTACTGCTGATCTGCTCACAAAGCCATGGCGATCATTGCAAAGAAAGGGTAGATCAGAGAGCAAACATAATAGCTGTAAGAAAGAGGATAAAAAACTGAAGAAAATGGTAGCTAATTGTAAGTCGTTCATGGACTGGTGTTGTGAGATTTAGTGAGCGATGAAAAAACGGACAAAACTTTCGGGACAACCCAATACAACTGATTTTATGGAAAATGCGCGACTCTAGCTTTAAATTACGCTGGTTTTTGAATTCAAGGTTTTCCAGTGCGCAGCAGTAAATTTCAGTAAAACGACGACTTTGTCTGCAAAAGTCGCATATATAAAATTGTAATAGGCCGAATTTGAATTTTGATCGCTTGAGAAGATGTATTTTCATAATTTAAAATATGACAAAAATATACAGAAAATGCAACAGTTTGCAACTTTGCACTATTACGAAACTATGAAAGCACCTTCAAGGGCTTCAGATGAAAACTTTCAAAATTAGCGAAATTTAGACACGGTAAGTATAAAAGGTTTGAAAATTATCTCAGCGCTTGTCGAAAGTCTCGCCCCGGGGTCATAACAGACGAAAGAGGAAGAAATTTTGCATTGGCTAGTGCTTGAGCTAATAGCTCTGTGGGATTTTAGGGTAGGTCTAAAAACGGAAAGAACTTTTGCACCGAGGCAATACATCGATTTGGTATACAAGGTTTATCAACTGTGGTGTCGGGTGCACCAAATCACCGCTCGTGCGCGGCCGCCTCCAACTCTGGGCCTCTTTGGCAAACATGATTTCTGGTTTTTTTCCCAATGCGAGCGTGGAGAAGGCGGAGCCTCAATCAATTACAAATAATTAGAGAGCACTAGAGGAGCAAAGTATTGCGCGGGAGCGGAGATGCTGGTGCACCCGACACTGCAATTGGTAAGCCCTGTACTTCAAAGTCTACACTGCTAATTTTAGTAAGAGCGAGCACTTTACTCCGGCAACCTAGAATCTGAGTAACGGCGACAATCCCGCGCAGTGCAACCGCAGCTATTTTTCGTGAGCTAATCTTTTAGTCATGCATCTCTGAAGAGTTCTTATTGTTTCAAATGTCTGTTAACAAAGTTCATTTCCCCAAACTTATTTGATCTAACTTCTCCTTTTCGTAGGTCAAAACTTAATTTTGCAGTGAGAGAGCTACTTTGTTGAATGAGAATGCAGAAGGAGGTGGACGAGGTATCCAGATAAGGTCAATAGTCAGTCTTAAAGTCATGTTACACATATGCCTCTTAGCTCACATGAACTCACCAATTTGTTCATATCCTTAGCTCGTGGTAGGTTGTCACAGTTCTCCACAGTATCGTTCGTCCGATCGCACCATCCATTCCGTTGCATCCCATTAGCAAGTGCGAAGCGTTTGTGATTTATCATAGAAAGAATTTGGCAGTTGATCTCGTCTTCTGTGAAGGAACCACCCCTGCAGTATGCGGCATCTAAAATAACAGCTTTAATCACATTTGAATTGAAGAGTGCAATGAGACCCTATAGTAGCTCTTTTTCGGTACAAGGTTCAGTAACTAGTTGTTAGTTATTTGAAGCTTTACGCTATATATGCGCAAAGCTGTGAAAGAAGCATGATTATGTGACTGTGGGTCTATGACGGAGAACTCCAAGAATGAATTGCGAAATTTCTGAAAAATGGCTTGGGGGCGCAACTATGGAAAATGGCTTACTTGCGAAAGTCTAAATAATATCTTGAGATATCTGAATTTGATATCAGTTCAGGAAGTCCTCTATCAATTCAGAACTTCGAAATTTTTTATCCCAAAATTCTTCGCAAAAGGAGTGGCCGGCGCCATTTCTGTTTATTTCAATCAAAATTTTTGCCTCCTCCTTCACCCAAAAAAAAATTTCGGACCTCCTGGTTTATTGATATGTAAGACATACTAGTCGTAATCGCACTAGGCTCCTCCTCTAGAACAGTTCGCTGAATTGCTTCTGTCGTAAATGTGTCAGCTACCATGGTAGTAGTAGTAGTGGTAGTAGAAGTTTCAGTAGTATAATCATCCCTGAAATCCACGTCTCTATTTGTTGCTGCGCTACGATTTTTCAGAAATCTATACATTTGCTCTTTAACGCTAAGTGGTTATCTAAATGATTTCTGAAATAAGTTCAATAATGTCACCCCCGAAACTGACAGCGTTTATAAAAATTGATGACAAATTCAACTCGATATGTGTTCGCGCTGCAATCCACACTTACCAGTAGTCTGTTTGGAAATATGTAGCGAAACATGTTGAAATGTACGCTACTACTTTCTGGTTATATTGTAATTGGGATCAAAAAAGAATAATCAACTTTTTGGGAACTGACAACTTCTAAGCATACGAATAATGGACTCCTGTGCGTTATGAAAATTACATGTAGTATAATAATGACGCAGCTGTATAAAGCTTGATGACAAATTATCCGTTTATCTTTCTCATCTCTCGAAGACGAGTGAAAGATTTACTTGGGTAAACTTGAAAAATAGCCCAAAAATTTGTAAGCATCAAAATGAGGATGTGGATTTGGAAATATCTAATTGTAAGATATAGAACTCGTTGCACATTACATATATCGTCGATTCGTTGACCGCACGGACTGCTCAAACGCTGCGGACCACGCGCGGAGCGGTGAATTGTCACGCGAGCGCCACTTGTACAATGGCGACTCTGTACTGAAGCAAGCGTTTTACCTCGCGGCGCGTGCTCCGCAGTGATGTTCAGTCCGTGCGATCAATGGAATCCTGCTCCAAATACCTGAATTGAGAAAGAACGCACAGAAAAAATTTTATCCTACCAACAACAGCTACTTGTACGCACGTGCATACCCGCCTGGGGAGGGGAGGGATGCTGCAAAAGGCCTTGTGTCGTGCTAAGGGGTTGTGCATCACGTTTTCTATCTTTCGCAGGTATTATTACTCTGATATCTTATTGTTGGCATGATGAATGACGGCGATTGCCATATATTTGCCTACTTACAATTAGATACTAGAATAGCACATGTCGTGTTTGTTTCAGCACAGCTTTAATTGTTTCCTGTACTTTGCTTTCGACATCCATGATTTTGTAACAACCAACCCACGGATGTCGCGTTTTCGGCGAAATCAGCTGGAACAAAAGTACGGAGCATTTTTATAAACTACAGGGTGTCCCAAAAAATGTATCGAACGTTTGATCGTTAATATCTCTCTTCTACAGAAGTCTTTTCTCTTGCTTTAGGTATCAATCTGTAGAGCTGGCTTCAACTTACATTTGCATTATAGAACGAATTACTCATCTCTCTTCATTACTGTAGGATTACGGTAGAAATTCCAGAGAGGGCTTTAAACAATTAAAGGCCGTATTTTGCCCCAGAAAGGAAACAAAACAGCCTGAAAACTTTTACACTAGGTTAGTTAGAGTTGCTGATTATAACTGTAAAGTTTCCAATTTATTATGATGCTTCATTGAAGAGTTATGCCAGGTAAGAGGTAGCGGCCATTTTTTCAATCTTCCTAAAAAGTGCGGTTACACCGTTTAGAAAGCTTCGTAATCTTGTGAATAGTTGAGTATCAAACTCAGCGTCCATAAAAACCCCAATACACAAGTTTTCACATTTTTTTGAAAAATTTTGAAACGGCAGCTTTTTCCACATTGACATCATATGTTTCAGGTTTCTACCGTAATCCTACAGTAATGAAGAGAAATGAATGATTCGTTCTATAATGCAAATCTAAGTTGAAGCTAGCTCTACAAAGTGGTACCTAAAGCAAGGCAAAAGACTTCTTGGGAAGAGAGATATTAACGATCAAACGTTCGATACATTTTTTTGGGACACCCTGTATATCGAAATCCGAATCAGTCAGCGTCAAATGGCTTCCTTCAAAGGACCAGGCTGCTCTTCTTTATTGTTAAGTTGTTTCCTCAAAGCGCTTTTCACTCATCAAGCACCCAAGATGCACGTAGGAAGACGCTTCCATAATGAAGATGCGATGTAGCTTTTGTTTTTGCAACTGCAGATAGGGCATTCTTCTGGGCGAGTCTCGATCTATTCGCAGTCCGATCTTCTTATTTCTTCTAGGTCGTTCAACATTGTCTCTGCTTCTGCGATACCTCGATAAAGGATGATGTTGTTCGCATAACAAAGGTTTGAAAGGAATTTCGGACTAATCCGTATGCATTTTTCTTCTCAGTCCAGCAACTTCATCTTTCTCTCAAAGCAGCCTTGACGAACTTCTTCAGTGAGATGTTAAGCGATAGTTTAGCTGCTTTGGCGTTATACAATCCTTGTAGCGGCTGATCTCACGTAAGCTGGGTTTACTCCTTGTTCGGCTAACGCTGACAGCATGGCATTGATTTGACGCTGATTTTTTTATCTTCCCATGTGTCCCGCTTAAGCAGGGTCTGCTTTCCTTGTCAGATGCATCCATGTCATCCTGTCTGAGGCAAGGTCTTCGTTTATACCAAGTTCTCGCAGGTCGGCCTTGATTCTGTCCATCCACCTCATCTTGAGTCTACCTCTGGGCCTTTTGCCTGGTGCCTCCACAGCCAGGGCCAACTTGGTGATGTGGCTTTCATCCCTTCTGCGCACATGCCCATACCATCGTAACCTTCTTTCCTGCATTTTCTGGGCAATTGGAGCTACTTTCATTCGTGCTCGTATAGTGTCATTGCAGATGTGATCCTTCAGTGTGACTCCTAAGGTCCATCGTAGCATCCTTTTTCCATGACACTGAGCTTGCGCTCCTCGTTCCGCGTACACGGCCAGCACTCACTGCCATACAGTGCTGCTGGGCGGATAACGGTCCTGTACAGTTAGGACTTAAGTTCCACTGACATTCGTCTGTCGCACAGAACTCCTGTTAAGGCTCTCCATTTCATACATGCTGTGTTCATCCTGCCTGCGACCTCCTCTTGTAAGCCTCCCTCCGCTGAGATATGGCTGCCTAGGTACTTGTATGACGTCGTCTTCTTTAGCTCTTCACCATTGATGCTTATGGTACCTGGAGTTTGTTTTCCCACTTCCATATATTCTGTCTTCTTGTGTTGAGCTTCAGGCCATACAACTCTAGCCTGTTTTTCCAGTTTTGTACCTCGTTTTGTAGCTCCTTTCTGGTACTTGCTATCAAGACCACATCATCTGCGTAGAGAAGTGTCCAAGGGGTTTCACGTCTGAGCGGTTCCATCACGGCGTTCATCACAGTGGTGAAGAGCAAGGGGAAGGAACTGAACCTTGGTGAACTCCAACCTTGATCTGAAATTCTTTTGATTGCCCTGCAGCTGTTTGCACGTGGCTTGATGCGTTGTGGTAGATCAACTTTATCCACTGAACGTACTCCTCTGGCACCCTGTGTTTCCGTAAGGCCCACCATATGACTTCATGTGGCACCTTATCGAAGGCTTTCTCCAGGTCCAGGAAGGCTACATGCAATTCCTTCTGCTTCTCCCTGTATCTCTTCATCACTATCCGAGCGGAGTGGATTGCATTAGTTGTACTCTCCTTTCACGAATCCACACTGATTCGGTGACAACTCTATGATATTTCGAAGGCGTGTTTCGATTACTCGCTCGAAGATTTTTAGAGTGTGGCTCATCAGTCGGATTGGTCGGTAGGATGCGCAGTCTGCTATGTCTCCTTTGTTCTTCCATATCGAGATGATCGTGCTGGTGTACCAGTCGCGAGGCATACTCTTGCTCCTTATGATTTGATTGAGGAGACTTGTTAGCCATGTGGCTCCGGATTGTCCACATATTTTCCAGAACTCGCTCGGTATGTCGTCTGGACCAGTCGCTTTGCCATTCTTCGTTCTTCTTATGGCCAGCCGTACAATTCTATGCGATTTTGGGGATCTTTTCTTTTGCTATATAAATTCGCAGTAAAGTAGGGCAGGCCATCACTTTCAACTTACATTAGAGGAAAAAGTTATTTAAAAGAGAAATTTTGGTTTTTTCAAAACATGTTTTTTTTTTCACCAAGCTAGCGTATTGAAAAACAGTGGTTTTCAGACCCTCTCAAATGAGTTCAAAAATTAAAAAAAGCCTTAATTTTCTCAAGCATTCTCACAAACCGGCATGATACATATTTTTCTATACGTCACAAAGATATAGAAGTGGTTTTTAAGAGTTTCTTGATTCTGGAGTGTCATAAATGATTTTGAATGAGAGGTCGCTGCTCGTGTGCAGATATTTTTAGCAAATACATTTCATATACTTTGTTTACGACTTCAATTCCAAAGTTGGTTGTGGTTTCGATGCAGAATAGTATAAAAATTCAGAAAATATCAACCTCACTTTTTCAAGATTAAAAGTTCTGTTTTTTTTCCATTCTCACATTCTTTAGTGAAGTTTTTTGAAGCGTGATCATTGCAGAGTGTGGCTAGAGATTCTATGATATAATTTTGAGCTATCTTGCTCAATGATTTTTTCGTAGCAGTTTTGAAAAATGGTGAAAAAATGAGGACATTTATTTTGGCGCACCCTGAAAGTAGTCTTACGAGGCATGAAAAAACCCTGCGACTGGAAAACATTGCAACCTACTGTCAATCTAAGCGGTACAGACAGTAACGTGATGTCCACCTTAGGTACGTAGGTGAGCATATCTTTTACCTTAAAAGCATCCTCTTAGTCATTGCATAGAACTGCGGCCCATCGCTTGAAAAAAAAAAACAAAAGTCTTCTGGAACTCCTACCTTTATTTCGATGAGTCGGGGCAATGATGAAAAACAAAGCCTAAATAATTGCGCCATCCGAATTTTCGGGCTTGCATATTTCTGTTATTTTTGTGCTTTTCTATGGGATCGGTCTTGGGTATGAGGCGCGGATAACCCCAAAACTCGACTATACCCTTTTCGGATCCACTTTCTTGCAGCGACGGGTCCGCTAGTCCAGTCAGGCAACATAAATTTCATCGTGTGCAGCAAAGACACAATTATATTAGGTTGGTCCCAAAGTTCTGTTGTTTCTTTTAAAAATTTATAACTTTGGCTATTTTAACGGATTTGCTTGTTTTTTTATTTCAGTAAAAAGAATAACTCTTTTGCTTTTGGGCTGCCTTCAGAGCTCCAAAGTAGAAAAGGAAGACCGTATGAACTTTGGTCATTTTGAGTTAGCCCACCAAAAATCTGGAAAGCTGCATTAAAGCTTGAAATCGTCAGTACATGAGTATTTTGACCTGCTCTTTTCAACTGAGAAAGGCTTGTGCTGTTTGACTTTTCTGTGAAAAGTTATGATTCTCGAAAAAGTGACAACTTAGCTAATTTTGGCGTTCTGGATTCATAACTTTTCACGGAGACGTTTGATTAACACAAATCCTCACGGCTGCAAGTAGTTGTAATGCAACAAAGCAGAAAGTTTCTTTTTTCTAACGAAACTCAGCAAGCCAGTTTTATCCAAATAGCGAGAGTTTATGCTTTTCTGAAAATGTAGCAACGGAACTTTCGGACTGACCTAGATAATCTAGAGTGTGTCCGCCAATGCAGAATGCATCAGGGAACGATGGATGGGGGTAGCGAATTCCAAAAAAAAACTGGAGTCTTTTCGATTTCGTTTTCTATGTTGGTGAGCCATGAGTGTATCTATGTAATCAAGTAAATAAAAATTGAAACAAAAAGGTGCGGAAAAGGGAATTTTTAGGCAACATCAGATAACGTGACCAAGGCAGATGCTATAACCACAATTTGCTTATAGACTAGAAGCAGGGCTCGGCACGAGCTGGCACCAGGAAATTTTCAAAACGAAGTCTCCCTTGACTTTTGGGAATTTTCACGAAGTCCCCTTTGATGTTCAGCGATATCTCCTCTAAAATCCTAAAAAAAAACCCAAAAACGAAACGTCGACTAAAAAAAAGGTCGCCGTCGCCAATTTTGCGAATATCTTCGCCCACAAAAACGAAACCCCCTTTGCTTTTTGCCCCAAAAAACGATATCCAACTTGCCCCGTGCCAGCTGGTGCCAGGCCCTGACTAGAAATTGTTCCAGGGAGCATAATGTGGGTGGATGCTGCGCTCTTCGAGTGAACAATGTATCAGGGTGTCCCATAATTTTTTACCGTTTTTACCTTGAACATCAGCATTTCTCGAGAACTAGAGTTCCTACAAAGGATGCAAACATATGATCGTAATGAAAGTGTTGACTAAACTATTTGTGAAAATATCGGTTCCACTTACGGATGAAAAAATTTGCGTAAATAGCAATATTTCGAGAATCGAAGCTGAAGAAATAGTTTCTCTAATAAATAGAAACTGTTCGGCCAACAACATTGGAGTCATAGTATGTTTACTACTCTGTACCGCTTTGGGTTTTTTTTATTGATTTAGCTAAAGTTGAAATGTTGGAATAACATAGTCTTCACCAAGGAAATGTTTTTAACAGCTCGCGTTTGTCTGAACCTGTAAGTAAGGAGCAAATAAGGTTAACCTTCCAAATTTCTCATCAGCTGTGAGGAAAGAAAATGAGTTTGGCACAAATAATGCTTAAAGACCATGCTAGATTTTGCCAAGCATTCTCACGTACCGGTACTGCAAAACTAATAGCTACCAAGCATGGTGCTCAAACTCTATTAGAACGTTTGAGCTAGAGAAAGCGAGAAACTTCTAGTTATGGCAAGCAGAAATCTATTCTATTTGAAATCCGACAGCCTCCCGGTACTTTGCATGCCACTACCTCTGTAACAGAATCAACAGTGGAATATCAAAATTTCGTATTACAGCTCCAATGAATGTCATGGTGTGCCAATACTTCCACATGCACAATCGCAGTAAGTTTGATTAAGCACAATGCTTTACACTTTTCTCCGATGTTTTTATGCCAGCATAAGTCAATGTCATGAGATAATCAACACCTAAACACACCTAAATGTATAGTTAACTCCCCATTGCGCGGCAGACAGGGAAACCTGCAAAGACATTGAACATTAGTTTTCTTGGTTTGAGAAAGAGTAAAGTGAAAATTTACCGCCGCTATAATCAAGACGACTCTCTTCATTTGAGATAAAATCAACAGTAATTGACAGCTCCGCCCCCTATTTATGCAAATCCTGTTCAGCTAGGTTTATGTGGGCGGGAATTAGCATTGGAGGACAGACAAAGGATTTGCCGGTAATAACACCAACAAATCATGACAATTCATTTGTTGTAATTTTTTTTTCATTTTTTGCCATCATTTTTTCCATTTCTTTACTGCCTAATCCTCGCAGAAAGCAAGAGCAGCAAACAGATTTGGTATCAAAATTGTGCGATAGCTTTTGTTTCATCACGGTTCTAGCCTTTTTTTTGATCCAGCCCCCTAAGAATGCTTCGCCTTTTAGCAAAAGATTGGATCCGGATTGCTTTTGGAGTATGAGCTTAAGATTATTCTGAACAATGGCAGACAACTTTTTGTTTGAAAAAACCTTCACATGTGCTGATCCTTCACATTTGAACGAATAGTCTTACTGATGGGCAAAATTTTTCCCAGAAGGGGAGCAACAAACATTCCTTGAATTTAAGATGTTAGCTACGCTCCGGCATTTGTTGCATGCTTTTCAGATATTTTAATCTACAATCTTGAAGGAAAAAATTGTACCCTTCCTCCCTCTGTTACGCATGGTTCCAATCGCATTTTAATGGTAGAGCCTGTTACGTACAAGCTTTTTCCAAAAAATTGGGTTGCGACATGAGTAATGCAACTTTACAAAACTTTTGTCTTTTGGTAATGAATTTCTTCGACATCTCAAAGATTATGATGTAAGCTAAAAATGCAGTCTTGTAGTATTTCGTCACATGAGAGTTTTGCGCTTTACAGCATAAAGGGAAGCTAATTACAAAAATGATACTTATTTCGCATAAAAGAGATTCCTTCCTGGTTAATGTATGAATTTTCAACTTATTGCCAGCAGCAAATGATATGACACTCGTGTTCAGCATGTTGAATACTTATTAGGCAAAATTGAAAATTTTGAAGTTTTGCCGCTTACAAGGAAATGGTGACAATTTGAAGAGGTCATTCCAAACCAACTGCATACCATTAGATGCAGCATAAAACGCTGACTTCGAATCTGTAATCCATATCTGCATAACGCCTTTGTGGACGAAGTAATGAGCCGTTACAGGCCGTTATTTTGCTTAGAAATCGTACACGCAAAGCGCAAATTTTGCAGTACAGAGCCATGTTCGGCTTAATGCTGAGCCAGAACATGCAGTCAGCTTATCTAATATTCTTAAGTCCTAAAGGTGAGCTGAAAGTACGATACTGCTCAATTTTGCAATTTTTATGTACGACTTTTCCGCAAGAAAACTGCTTATAACTTTGTCCACAAAGGAGCTGAGCAAATATGGAATGCAGGTTCGAAATCAGCGTTGAATGCTGCATCGAATGCTAGGCAGTTTGCTTAGATTGGTCTCTTCGACTTCTGACCATTCCTTTGTTAGTTATTGACAGATGCCCTTCAAGCTCAACGCATTTGACTTCAGAGCGCCAGATCTGACTTTGCCTTCCAGTTCCATTCCTATCTTCATGGGTGCAATAAGACTGTCTTTAGCAACACGCTGCCTACGATTCCGTCTTGATATCGATTCTGGTTGTGTCCGCTGGCGGTTGCCTTCATTCTTGCTCAGAAACCTCAAAGCCTCGATTTTGAACAGTTTTTTGGAAAAAGATTATAATTTTTTACTGCAATTCTTATATCACACTGATAATCTAACCTGATAATCTAACAAGGGAAGCGTGTTTAGTCGAAGTGGCATTTTCAGATGAGACCCATACCGCTTTGAAGAGTATTGCACGATGATTCCAAATCTGCCTTCCAAATCTGCCAAGCGCCTCTGAACGCCGAGTTATGGCCGTTTTTTGGAACGAAAAATGAATGCAGAATTTGGATAAAATCGATTATTAAAATTTTTACAGCGCTCAGATAAAGTCATGTTAAGTGTTAGCATATTAGATAAAATGTACCCATTGCATAAAGGGCTGTGATACTTGACACTGGACCATTTGAGCAAATTGGGGCGATTTTGTTCCAATTTTGCGTCCAATTTTTTGACCTGAAAAACGCCCATAACTCGGCGTCTAGAAACGCTTAGCAGATGTGGAAGACGGATTTGGAATCACGCTTAATGCTTTTCAAAGCAATATGGGTCTCAATTGGAAAGGCCACTTCGACTACACACGCTTTCCTTGTAAGATGATTTAAATATGAACGAGTTACCTGTTCTACTGCTAGGATACTGCTAGCCGAGTGGATCACTGTGACTCCGCTTCGCAATAATTTTCTATTGCCACCCACATGTGACGACCCCCTCTCCTAGAGCTCTGGAAGCTCCTCTTCCCCAAAGTCTTTCGGTCAGCACAAACGAATTTTGTATCTATTCAGAGCTGATCTTGCTGAGTCCAAGTTCCTCAACCTCGGTTCGTTCTTGAAAGCCTCATCCTGTATCAAACGTGATTAGGTTGCCGAAGTTTTTTTTATTACTCACTTATTCGAGTGCGATTTGACTTCCATCTAATTTTGGTTTCTTTTTTCTAATCAAAACTTTTACATAGCAGACCTCTTATAGTCCATCTCCAGAGTTTTTTCAAAAGGAATGGTAGAACTGGCGAAGTTAATGGAGAATTTGATAAGGTGGAGTCAGAAATAACTTTGAATTAATTCAGGCATCGGAGCAAATGAAAGTGCTGAAACATAGGGACACAGTGTGCTGATGAATATGGCCATCCAATTTTAGGTACATCGATAACTGACGGTGGTGATTATTCATTATAGCAAGCTCATTCACTTTGCTTTAATAATAGTCTTCAAAACAAATAAATATTTTACATTTTGTAGATGTTCTATTGACTTGTCGCATTTAGATTATATCAATTTTTTGCTGGAGAGAGAGACTTTCTCATCCCAACTGAGACGATCCGCCTGTAGAGTGAGAAACTAGGATTAGAATAAGGACTGTGTTAGCACCGTTGTTTGAAAGAAGTTTGATCAGAGTCTAGCGTGGGGTGGCATGCCACACCTGGGGGGTCGTACTGAGGGGTAAAGAAGGGGGGGTTTATCGAGGTGGCACTAATACTAGCGAAAACTATTTGTTAAAATGTAGGACCATTATAATACTAGCACATTAGGTTTATTACAATACTAGCACATGTTTCGCCTACCATCTATACTTATCAAGCATAATAAAAGATTCCTAATAGCATAAGAACATCATTTTCGTACCTAGCACTTCATAACCTCTGTGGGCCAAGTTTCAGCGAATTCTGAGGTTTCTGAATAATGGGCCACTCACGTGAGATGATTATTTGCGAACACGTTAAATTCTTTTCAAAGATGGGTTTACTACTTCTTTTTGCACTTGATACAAGGAACTACTTCTTTTTTTTTGCCCGTATCAGGAATCATACTTTAAATAACCCCTTATCGAATTAAACTATCAAACTAAAAGCAAATTAAAATCTCGTTTGTTCCAGTTTTCTCCTTCATTATCTCAAACTATAAAATCCAATCGGGTTCAAATCACTTTTCTGAAAATTACGAGGTTTAGGATATTGAATAAATTTATTCTCGCGGACTTCCCTCGCGTCACGTAGTAACGAGGACTTAGCATGTTACCGTAACCCAGTATTTTCGCAGTATTTTCCATTTGCACATGTAATGCAAAAACGACTATATCTTTCCTTAGGAGAAAAGAGAATGAAATTTCTACCGTGTAGAGAAGAAGGTTTTGCAGTAAACCGATATGCAACATGATATTCGAATGCTTTGAAGGTAAGTCAATGGGGGTGTGGCACAATTGCTAAAAAGGTGTGGCAGCCACAACTTTTCAGGATTGTGCCACACTCCATTAACTTACCTTTAAGGAAACATTACATCCATGTTTCGATAGCACAATTCTCGCAGTCTCTACAGCAGTAGTTTGAGCCTGACTTTTCTTTTTTATTTTGATTAACAGTTGCTAGAAATGGGACAAATAAAATTTTCGCTGAATCCCAGTCCCATAGTTTGTCGTTCGTTTGAAGTGTGATTTCTCACGTGGGCAAGAAAGGGTTAGTGCTTGTTATCAAGTGCAAAAATAAATAGCTAACTCATCTTCAAAATGAAATTGATCATGTTTGAAAATGACCATTTCACTTGGCTGGTCCAATATTTAGGAACCTCGAATGCGCTGAAACTTAGTCCACGGGGTTTATTTAACATGCTAATAACATGGCATTAATATGCTTGGTACGACTATGTTATGTGTAACGATAGCGAGAAGTAGGCGTTAATGCTGGGGGGGGGGGGTCTTCTGAGATACTTAGTAGGAGGGGGGGATAGTATCCGGCGGCGGTTGCCACACCTCTTGCTCGACCCTGGTCATGATTCTCAGTAATCTTGCTTGATCTTGTTTTGACATGCACCAGACGGGAACTGAAACTTACTCTACCACCACCTTTGATCACCTTCTTTGACTAGATATTTTTTTCTCAGGTCTCTGTCCACAATTTATGTTCCATTCTAGCAACAATAACCTAACCCTTCCTTTATTGCCTCTTTTAAGTCTAGCGCAGGCGGCGCTTCATAGTAACATCCTCGCATTTCCTCCTATTTGCGCTTTGAGGTTTTGTCAGCAATGATCAATAAAATAAGTACTGTGTCATTTTTGGAAAGATGATTTTATGTTCGAATGGCTATTGCAATGGATGAAATGACTGAATAATTTTATTTGCGTTGAGTTAATGTCATTTTCGACAATGAATTCATTCTAACAGCGAATGGACACAACAGCGCCCTCGTGAACTTATTATGCGATAGAATGAAAAAACATTTGTCATCAAAAATTTTGAAATAATTATGTTGTGATCAGACACGTGTCAAACAAAATCTTTTTTGCTACCTCAGCGCAAGCATCGGAAAGGTGACGATGAGGGAATCACTTTGCATAAGTTTTGAACAGCATAGTGGATCAGAGTGTAACTTCCCAAATTTCTATTCAGTTGAAAAAACCATGGTTTGCGGAAGCCATCAAAATATTTATGAATGG